AACTTACCCATAAAGTCAAAACTCAAGCAGTTATAGGCCAGCTGCAATACCTGTATTAATAATATATTATTATTGCCATCCATACCACTCCTGCCTCAACTGATTACCTTCTTAACCAATTTGAATTCTTCCGTCTTGTCGTTGATCGCCAACTTCCCCTCATACATTTGCGTGAGGATATCAACTGCTGTTGTGAAGATCTGTGGCAGGGCTATGTCTCGAAAGGAAAGTGCCGTACCTAGAACATAGCCATGCCTCCCGAACTCCTCTTCAACAGAATTCCATTACAAACAGATAATAGTAGAGTATTTTTCCACAATAGAAATAGTAATACCCGACCTTGCGATAACCTGTCGCGCTCTCCTTGTTATTACGTCTAAAGCGGGACATCCCAGGACCAACAGTAGGCTGCATATCGGAGGTTAGCTGGACGTAGATGTCAAGGCCGAGGATCCAATGTAGAGTCGATGCTGATAGGAACTTCTGTACCTAAATAATGGGTATGATGTAACTCAATACCATCCTTCTCTCAACTCTGCCTACATCGCTGACAATAGTCTGATGTTGAGGTCCCTCGAGCCAGCTGAGCTTGACAATACGGCAGAGGAAACGCACAAGGAAAGATACCGCGTATCTAGTGAGAGATACTACCCACCCCCGCAGCGTAGTAGTGATGATGGGCCTTACGGAGCACTGTTCTGAAGGGCTTCACAGTTTTGGAAGAGGTAGTTTAACATGAAGTTCTGAGAAAATTACGGGGAAGAAATAACACCAACGACGAACAAGGGGAATTCTCAATCAGTGAGTTTAACAGCAAAGGGAACAACCGATTTTCTCAAAGTTTGTTACCATCGAGGTGCTCTATCAAGAAACCACTTCACCACTCCTTTCCAGACAATATGCAATTTGCGAGCCACACGACGTGAAGTAGGATACAGACAGTGACGTGAATAAGGCGAGTGGCAAAGTCGTAAACAGAGCTGTACACCCTTGAGTGGCGTCACTATGATTACCTTCATATCTTCCCTCTGCTGCTCAGTAACGGCAGTCCAATTAGCAGTAGCCACCTTAGTCAAGGCAGTAGAGGCAAAGACTAGGGCTTGCTGATTGGACGAGTTAGCTAGGATGTATCTAAACATACTTCCCCATGTTGGGAGGATGATGATACCCATACTTATTACTGTAGTTGGGGTACGGAGTCAATGCCGTTGAGGAGGGGAGTAAGGACCTCATGAGCATGCCTTTGGGCTTGCTCATTGGGGGGGTTGTAGAACTCAGTGCAGAGCCTTTCAAATTGAGCCAAGGAAGCCGCGTCCATTCAATGTTGATGAGGCACAACACACACAAGGGAGGAGGAGAGGGCCAACTAACAGCAGCAGTATAACAAGGAAGATG